ATACCCGAGACCCAGACGCCTCAACATCTTCTTGGCACTATAATAATCTGTTGGCAATTTCTCCCTATCAACTTTTTTGAAGCCCATTAGACTACGCTTTAGCACATAGTCCCAATTAGTAACACTCATGTTAAAAGGTGTTTTTGCACTCATAAGCTCACACACCCACTTTAAGACAGTGACACCATCATCACACCCATCAAAAATAGGTGTATCAGCTGCTTGCAAAAGATCAAAAAACTCTTTTGCATCTCCTCTTAGCTCCTCAAATATCGATTCTGTACTAACACCATATGGATCATCAAAACTAGCATCAAATTGTGTTGCATCTTCTACTCCTGTGGCACTATTTTCATTATTAAAAAAATTTGGTCCTATGGCATCATGAAGCATGTCTGAGTTGATCAACACTTGGAACATTATTCATAGCAGCAGTAGCAGCAGCACTTGATGATTCACCCACTTGGGTGCAACGACGTTTTCTATGAATAATTTTTCCGTGTCTTTTGCAAATTAAATACCCATCCATGAAGCTGTTCGTAATAAGATGAGATTGCACTCTACGTCGATGATGCCATTCTCTATTCCAACACTTACTACGCGGACATCGAATCATATTCATTGCACAAAACATCGGGTCTGTTTGTGAGAATGCAAAATCTAAGAAAATCTCTACCCCAACATTAAATTCATTGTTCCAATACCCCATTTCATCTCGACGACGATATATCCAACTCCGATCTTCTCCCATAATTAAGTAGTACATGCCTTAAAAATTCAACAATATCTTAATATTATATAACAAGCACTAGAATCATTAATATCAATTTTGGTCCATTAGCTTTATCGTTTTACACAATTTGCATCCCTCAACTTTTTTTTTGCTCATATTGGTCCTTCAACTATGAATAATGTACATTTTTAGTTCTTCTATCAATTAAGTTTTTTTAGCACATTGATAAAATGACTAAAAATGTAAACTACTCATAATCGAGGGACCAAAATGAGCAAAAAAAAGTTAAGGGACAAAAATTACTTAAAATCTTAAAATTGAGGAATCAAAATTAGCATTTATCCTTTTAAAATTATATATGCTAAAATAATATATAATTACATTTTTAACCAACTAAAAAT